TCTACCTTCATAGCCACATGCAACATGTCTTCCAACTCCACATAATGTTGCAACTCCACTACATTGGCAATTTCCCTATTCAACCCATTCAAGAATCGTGCCATGGTAGCCTCCCGATCCTCCACCACATTGGCCCTAATCATGAGTATTTCCATCTCCTTATGATAGTCCTCTACACTTTTTGACCCTTGATATAGACTTTGCAGTTTTTGATGGATCTCTCGATAATAGTGGCTAGGAACAAACCTCTTTCTCATCAATGACTTCAATTCCTCCCAAGTGCTGATTGGTCTTCCCCCACTCCTACGTTGTGAAGTAATCACTTGATCCCACCATGAAATTGCATAGTCACTGAACTCCAAAACTGCTAACTTCACCTTTTTTCTCCTCCGAGTAGTTATAACACTCGAAGATCATTTCAACCTTCTTTTCCCACTCCAGGTATGCCTCAGGATCACTCCTTCCCTTGAATGAAGGAACTGTCATTTTTATATTTCCCAAGTTTCCACCCAACTCCTCCCCGCGATCATTCCGACCCCGTCTATTGAACCTATCGCCTCTATTCCTCATCCTTCCCATCTCAACACCGTGAAATTCATCTTCGCCCATGTCACTCCCATATCCATACTCCTCTCGCCTTTCCCTCCTAGGCTCCCATCTATCCGGTCCTCTGGTATTGGATACATCCACTCGATGCCCCCGACTAAGATTAGCCACCGATGTATCTAATCTATTCATCCAAGCCTCCTGCTTCTCCAACCTATCTCTCACATCTCCAAACGCCCTCTCAAACCTTTGCACTAAATCCTCCGATGCATTGCTATTATTGTCTTGTTGGCTTGAGTTTGATTTTACCCTTTCTGACATCCTAACACTAAAATCTTATTTTACTGCCTCACCAAAAGTCACTAGGAACACACACAAGGCTTTTACCCTCTATTAAGCTCACCTCTCTGCCTTTTACCACTCAGTTCTTTCAACAATTGCTTCTAGGAACAATCAATAAACTCAATCAATCAATCAATTCGTGTAGAATTCTCCAAACCGGATGTGACTCAATAACTGTAACAAAGGACTCAAAGAAAACTTTTAAAACTTGATTTAAATTGAAGGAATGGAATGATTCAATGTGTCCAAGTAATTTAGAAACGATAATGAATAATAAAATTTGGTATTCGACGGATCAATAATATTTAACAATTTTTTTTAACTGTACGGATAAACAGTAATTTTTTTTAGATCTGGAAATCAATAACAAAATCAACAAAGAAAATGAAAACTGATTTGGGCGAAAATTGAGCCTAGAAACGAAATTTGAAGTTTTTTGATGAAAATTTTGGATCAAAGAATCAAGAAAACTGTCTGAACACAAGGAATTGAAAAAAATTAGAAAACAAAGGATATAACCTGATTAAATTGGAGCCAAAGTTCTGATACCAACTAATGCGAACCCCGTAGCAATGGAAACTACGAAACCCACAATGAGATTGATGCGAAACCCAAGAACGCCAATACTAACCTGGTTTTGGATCTTGAACCCCAAGAATTGAACTAAGAAACCCTAGATTAGCGAAGAACCTAAAATCCTTTGAATTACAATTAAAAGAACCCACAATCCGATTGATTAGAACGCCACAAGAAGTTGAATCTGGATAAGTTCCAATATTGTTCAAGAAGAACAATAAATTGAAAGAAGAAATTTCTCTCTCTATAATATTAATTCAAAAGTCAAAAGTTCAAAGTTATTACCATGAAAAGTAATCTCCTATTTATACTAATGAATAAAAACGTCCAAAACCATCAAATTATGGTAATAATTTGATTTCATAAGAATTCTATCGAAACTATGAAATTCAGCCAAAAATAGAAAATTCGCCAATTTTTTTGGCTTGTGCGGCCGCATGGTGTAAATCCATGCGGTCGCATGGTTCATCAAGAAAAACAATTTTTACTTTCGGTATGCATGTGTGCGGCCGCATGGAGTTTTGCCTATGCGGCCGCATGGTGTTGTTTTCTGCCTCCGCTTTCGTCGCTTGATAACAAATTGATCCAAGTTGATTCGACCTTCGACCCGAATATGAAAGTTGCTCCATTTTGAGTCCCGAACATGGTTCCATCAATGGTTTCTTGAACGAGCAATCCCATCGCTTGTTTCACTTGCTTTGCCCTTGATCGGATCATTGGTCCGCCATCGACTATCAGGGGGTCTCGTCTCGCACTTGCCTTCGTCGGGCTCGACTCTTGGATCATATCAGACCTCCTCTCAAAAAGATCAAAATGCTGGAGAATCGGACTATTCAGCAACTGACAAAAACGATGAATCCGATGATCATGATGAGTTGTTAAACGACTTGTAGATTCTCGTGCTAGGATAAGTATGTAACGGCAATGATAAAAGTAGAAAGAGCGCTAGAAATTCCCATATGGTTAGGAAAAATAGAGTCGAGCCCAGTGTTTGATGGTTGTCTTTCTCCTGCCATCCTTGGGATTATTTTCCCTTTCACTACGGACTCGATGAATACATTTTTTGGTAATTTTGATACTTGATAGTTTATTATATTGTAATATTTAACCCGCCCTGAACGGTGGGTGTACATTCATGAGCCATTTTTTGGCCGCTAAAAGAATTTTGGTTGGTCTGTTCTTGATTTGCACTTTTTGACATTTGAATGACAACTAGACTAAAATCATGATGGTTTTCATTACATGAATATAATGCTATTTTCAAAATTTACAACTTTGGGATTGAAAGTTGAGTTTGCATGTTTGAGTTTTGTTCATAAAAAGTTTAGAACTAATAATTCTATGAAATGAGTGGTTGATCAGTGTGCGGTAGAACCAATCGGTTTGGTTTCGATTCCTCAACCAAATGGGTCGATTTTGGGACAATGTATCTGGAACCGATTGGTTCTAGTCCGGTTCTCAGTACTGCCTTAATAATCAATAGTAAATTTGGTTCTTCCAAAATTCTCTTTTTTCTAGTATCATGATGCACTAGATCTTTGAATATTGGACTCTAAAATTATCTTATTTTAAAATTTCGTTTTCCATATGCTTCTTCCTCTTTCTTTAATGAATAATCAAAATTTCAAGTGTAAATAATTTTATAAATACTTTACAAATTCATAACCTTCATGCAACCCAATAGAAAAAATATATTTTTAGTTCAATATCTCATAAGAATTCAAATTTTTTGTTGTTTCCAAAGTGATCAGCCCTCAAGAATCATGATCATTGAGGATTACTAAAGATAATCATGTTATTGCTATACGAATTTTCGTAAAAATTAATTTCAATCTAGATTTTACCGTTTATGCTTTATTTAATAATTTAGCCTTTTTTTCCCGCTTTTATGAGTTGATTTTGAGTTTTGAATTGAATTTGTATTTGCTGCCTTGTTCAATTTTATTTATTTATTTTTTTGTGTGTGTTAGATTAAAAGAATAACAGGCGGTTTCATATTCTATTTTTGTCTTTTTTAATAGATAAGTAGTTTCATACTTTATTTTTATAATTTTTCATTATAAAGAGTGGGACTGGACAAAGCGGAACTGATTGGTTCGGTTTCGGTTCGGTTCTATAGTTGGAAATGGATTGGTTCCATTTTCAAGATTTTCATTAGTATTCGGCTCGATTCGATTTCCTTTTAAGTTGGATATAATTAGACCGCACTCACTTCTAAATACTTATGAATTTTACAATATATGTAAATAAAAAGTGATACGATAGTTTATAAGTAGCCAAACAAAGGAAAATAATATTGGCCTAACCAAAATGACAAATGAGTTTGGATTTTAATTATGGCAGTATGGATAGATAGTTCAAACAGGTTTTACTTTTGAGCTCGCAGGGGAAATCGAATAGTTACAAATTGTCATTTCAAAAAGCTAAACAAAGAAAGATGCCACTAATTGAAAATAACAAATCACACAAATTACTTGACACTTTACATGTCATTTTGTTTTACTTTAAATTTTGAATTGCTTCAATTATTTCATTCTAAAAATTATTATTATTTATCTCTTACTTCTCTCTATTTCCTAAATTAATTTATATTAATTCAAATATCTTAACTACACTACATTTTTTTTTGACACAGTTGCCTACACTATTTACATGACAATTTTAAAATTTATTTTTACACAAAATTGTATATTTTATCACCAATATTTAGATTTGTTTTCTCTTAAAATAGACTATGTACAGGTACTTCAAAATTTGTTAAATTGCAAAATGTATAAAGCTATAATCACAACTTAAATAGAAAGAAATTCATTTTAAGCTGAAAATAATAAATCATACCCATATATTAATTTACTTATTTTTTCTTTTTAAAAAATATTCTTTGAACATATCTTATTAAACCCTGTTTGGAGAAATTAAAATCTAAATTTTAATCTAAGTCAAAATCAACAATTAATTTTAACCGCATAATTCGTGAGATCTATAACTTTTCTTCAAATTTTATTAAAATCTACTGAAAATTTGATTTTATCTACCAAACAGGCCCAATTAGGTGATAGCAACTAATAATTACAATTTGTTCAGTTAATAATATTGGATAAAAATTAAATTAAATATTGTTACCTATTTTTTCAAGTTGTTATTTAAAGAAAATATAGATCATATTAAAGAATAATAAAGTAGTTATTAAGTTTTATTTTTTAAAAAAGGCTTTAATTTATTATTTCAATTAATGGTATTTTGTTCTATTTAATATTTATAATGACACGGTTGTTAATATTTTTATTTTTTCCTTGCAAAATGTTTTTTTAGTATCAATAACTAAAATATAATATACAAAATGTAAAATTGTGAAATATAGTATGCGAAATATAAATTTATTTACTAAATTGTTTGTAATTTGATAACAAAATAATTCACAAGACAAATAAATGATATATTATAATAAAGGACATGTCATTGTCACATATTCTCGAAACATGAATCAACGGTCTTTTTTTTTATTTTATTTTTTTTTTAAGACTTTCAAACCGCTCTCATACAATTTCCATACAGCTAAGGGGCAATGGCCAACGGTCAAGAAAGAGATCGCCGCTCCATTACCAGAGCCAAATTCTTCGCCGTTTACTTCAGAATACGCCGCCGGTGGAGGAAGTTTCATTAATGGGTGCCTGAAAGCCTAATTTCTCCACTGCCCGCTGCTACTTCATATGGCACTGCCGCCGTTGGCCGAGGTATTCATGAATCAACGGTCCTTTCTTATTTTTTTATTTTTATTTTTTGAATTCTTAGACTTTCAAACTGTTCTCATACAACTTCCATACAGCTAATGGGCAATGGCCAACAGTCAAGAAAGAGATCACCGCTCCATTGCTTCGCCGTTTACTTCAGAATACGCCGCCAGTGGAGGAATTTCATTAATGGGTGCCTGAAAGCCTAATTTCTCCACTGCCCGCTGCCTACTTCATATGGCACTGCTGCCGTTGGCGGAGGTATTCATGGATCCCGGTAAGAAAACAACGGCAAAAATTGTCTGCGAGTAAGTCAGTTTGTTTAATCTATTACTATTATACTGTTGAATTCTATAAAAGATGTTATATGGGTATTTCTCGGAATTACATTATTGACTTTCAGGCCTACTTCTTTCTTGATATTAATATTGACTCACATACTTCAAATGTTGGATACCGATTCATCTTATCTGCGATTTTTCTGGGTTTTACTGTCCGCTGAGTAGTTTAATTGATTTACAGCAGACTCTGTTTCAGTTTGAGTGGATTCATTTTTTTCCCAACAAATTCTTATTTGGGTCTTTCTTGGGTTGTTAGATATAGACGTACCTTTTAATTTTTATTATGGAAGTATTTGAATTATGCCCTAGAATTTTGTGATTTTTTTTCTTTTATGGTAACTGTGATTTTCTTTTGATTTATTACTTTTATTCCTCTGATTCAATTTGTGAGAGTTGTTGCTTGTGAGGGAATGATAGTTTTCTTGTAGTCTTTTGTTTTCCGTGGATATAATTTGGTTACATTTACTAAGTGAGTTTTCATTTTGATGATTGATTTGCTGTGGTCTTTGTTCTCAATTGTTTGTAATCAATATACAAATTCCCTCTTATACTTTGGATTGCTGTCCATTTTGAGTTTCTTTATGTTGTTGAGTTGTGTAGTGTTGCCGTTGGATTTAACTCGGTTGCATTTATTTACTGATTGGTCATTTGATGATCAATTCATTGTGGTCTTTTTTTCCCAATGTATTTGGCTGGTTTGTTGAGATGTTTTGTGTTGTTCGTGGACGTAATTAATTATTTTTTTATTTTTTCATTTTTTTTGCATTTACTTGGCGATTGTTCATTTTGATTATCAATTCATTGTGATTTTTGTTTACCAATGTATTTGGCTGGTTTGTTGAGATGCTCCAATTTTTCGTCGATCTAATTTGGTTGCATTTACTTTGTGAATTTTTCATTTCAATGATCAACTTATTGTGGTTTGTTTTACAATGTATTTGGCTTGTTGTGATGTTTTGTATTGTTCGTGGATGTAAATTTTTTTTCTCTACTTGGTGATTGCTCATTTTGATTGTCAGTTCATTGTCGTTTTTGTTTACAAATGTATTTGGTTGGTTTGTTGAGATGTGCTAATTGCCCGTCGATCTAATTGGGTTGCATTTGCTTTGTGAATTGTTCATTTTGATGATCAATTTATTGTGGTTTGTTTTACAATATATCTGGCTTGTTGAGATGTTTTGTATTGTTTGTGGATGCAACTTTTTTTAATTTTTAATTAATTTATTTTTTTGCTATTTGATGATTATTAATTCATTGTGATTTTCTGTTACCAATGTATATGGCTGGTTTGTTAAGATGTGCTAATTGTCCATCGATCTAATTTGGTAGCATTTACTTTGTGAGTTGTTCATTTTGATGATCAGTTTATTGTGGTTTGTTTTACAATGTATTTGGCTTGTGTTGAGATGTGTTGTGTGTTCGTTGATTTAATATTGTTGCATTTACTTGGTAATCTGTTCATTTAGATTCAATCCATCACGATTTTTGTTTCCATTGTATATGGGGCTGGTTTGTTGAGGTGTGTTAGTTGCACGTGAATCTAATTTAGTTGCATTTACTCAGTGATTGGTCTTTTTGATGATCAATTCATTGTGGTTTGTTTTACAATGTATTTGGCTGGTTTGTTGAGATGTGATATATGTGGATTTAATTTGATTGTTCATTTTGATGACTGATTCATCGTGATTTTGGTTTTCCAATGTAATTGGATTGTTCATTTTAATTTGATTGCTTGTTTTAATTTTTGATATATTGTGGCTCAATATATATTTCTGGGTTTCTTTTCCATATGGTCATAATGATCTAACAGGTTTATCATTTTGTATGAGGTGGAAACTTTATTCTCATATGAGGTGAAAAGTTTGCCAGATGCTTTGTATTGGCAATCATTGTGATTGGCTTACAAATTGGATAGCCTGTATTTTGCTCATGAAGCTTCATTTGCTAACATAGATTGGGAAACAAAATTGCCTATAAATACTAGACTTATCTTTTCAGGTACACACACATTAACACATTATTCTAGAATATTATATTATTTCATGTACCATGTTCCCCAAGCCTCACAACCCTATGATGGTCCCCAGACCCATCCTATACAGTCCAGTCCCCCACAATTTTGCATTTCTAAACTCATGAGAATTTTCAGCATTTGTTTTACTTACGAGTCCAATCTGGCCTTTTATTTCTCCACAATTTTCAGCTTGTTTAATGAAATTAGCTTCTTGTATTTGTTAAAGGCATCCTAAGCTTCTTTTTATTATGTGATTGCTGCGGCTTCTATGAAGCAAATAATAGTTGCAAAGTGATATAAAGTGATCGGTACAAAACGACTTTGTTTATGTGATTGATTTCTTTCAAAGCGCGAACCACATTTTTATTCTTCGGTGTTCTTAATTTTTGGTTCCACAAATTTAATTAGTTGTTGAAATATATAAAATAGTACAATGAAAATGTTTAGCTTGTTATGTTGCTAGAAGAAATGATCTAATACTTACTGAAATCTACTTAAAATTACTAGGGTTACTGAATTATGCTTGTTCTATTGCACATGACATATAAATTTTAATTTAAGATAAGATTCATGTTTTGCCTAAATAAAAGTCTAAAACGTTATTACTATATCATACCATATATATCTTTATGTTCGTCTTCCCTTTTCTACTTGTCTGCTATAGTCACCCCTGTACACCTGATGGACTAGTAAAATTTTAACCCATTAAGTTAATTTGAAAAGCTAACAACCGCCAAAATGAACTCATAGTTTAAACATCGAACTAACATAACTATAATAGTAAGAATTAGGAAGTATTTCAAAAAAAACTTCAACATACCCTTCCGAGAGACGAGAGTGAGAGGCGGAGTTATGGCAGATAGCAATTTTAAACAGATGCAGTAAAGTTTTTTATTACTTTTTTCTTCTTTCTGTTCATTTTTAGTAAATTTCTGATTTTTTTACTTCTAATGGTTTACCATTTGTCAAGCATTCTATTTCTTTTACAAGGAGGCAGGTCACCTAGCTCTGTTATACAGTCTTAAAGGACTATTTCGATTTCAAACCACTGTCCACTTTTATCAAATTTCTGAAAAATTATTGTGTTTCTCTAACTGCTTATCATTTGTCAGAGAAATGTATTTTCTTTGACAGGTAGGACATACGGCTCATTCATACAGCCCTGAAGAATGTTTTGCTGCATGTAGCCTTTTCTAAGGTTTGCAGCTTTTGCTTGTGAGTTTTGAATTTGAAGATTGTGAATTCTATTTTACTCTTCTTAATTTAGAAATGACTTGCCTATTTGAGCTTGGAGTATGGAGAAATTGTCAATCGTTTTTCTAATTTATAATCGAGTAATATCTTGTTTTGTAGCATGAGTCACAGTTGGCAATAGCAAGTTTAATCGATGATCATAGAGTGTTTAATCTTCCTTTCATGTCTTTGTAGTTAAGAGACAAGTTTCATTATGTTAACAATTATTTCTATTTTAGAGGATTTAGATTCATGACATGGTTATTCATTCTTCTAACAAATGCTATATTTGGCAGACTTTTGTTGGAAGGTTTGGCAGATGTTGATATTGATGATCATTGCAAGTCTTTCAAGATTAGGTTGATTTATTGAATAGTTGGATTTTGCTCATGAAGCTTTATCTACTCCAGCACATTGGGAAACAAAATCGCCAGTAAGACCCCTGTAGCGACCCCAGCCCTCCACTCTCCACAGTCCCATTTCACAACCTACCAAAATATTGCAGAGTTGCAGTTCCAAACCTTGTTCCTTTTTAGTAAATTTCTGAAAAATTATTTTTCTATTCTCTTTATAATTTGTCAGAGCATTATATTTTTTTGACAGGCTTGTTCATACAGCCCTAAAGAGTGTTTTGCTATGTCCAAATGTATTTATCTGCATTTAGATCCTAGCATTTTATTAGGGACAAAGAAGATTAGCTCAATTCCTTCCTTACATACGCTAGGTATATTTTTTGCTTCTGTTTAGCTCAGTGGCTGCTCCTAAACTCAATTAGGTCACAAGGGCACGAAATCCTCTTCCCAGAAAGAACCAAAAGAGAACTTCCATTGGTAAAACTAAAGGAAAAGTAGGACCTTCTCTGTGACTTTTGATGAAGAAGGACATGGAATCCATTTTGACTCCGAAATATCATCAGATGGAGATGACCTATTTGCTAATGATATTCTCTAAGGACGTGAAGATGAAGATACTGTGGTCCTTGCCACGTTAGGATCCTAGGAGTTTCAATAGGTATTATCTTAACGTAATTGTAGTTTTCCATTTTAAGGAAAATTCAGATGTAGAATTAGATTGTGATGCATCTGATATTGAGAAGTAAGCAAAGGCTATTGATAAGGAAAAGGCCAGCAAAAGCTGAATTACAACTCAACATCAAAGAAGAAGATGACGTGTTCAGATTGCCAAGGGAGGTAAAGTTCATCAATGCGTTTGGTTTCTGCTCAGAATTTATAGATATAAATTGGCGAAACCTTTTGTTATGTTAAGCTGTATTTTTTCCACAATAATATGGGAGCTCAAAGAAGAAGCGCACACAGACCATTGAAGCTTCAATCCCCCGGAAAGATATCCTGCGGCCAGACATAAATTTGTAACTACTTTCCTCCATTATCCTTAAACCTGAAAAGCTGGGTTGACTTTATTGCCTGGTCTATTGAGAAAGATTACTTTTTGGCCAAGAAGTTGATAGCGAGATCTCAAATCAATTTATTGGTCTTATGGCATGAAATTCCACCAGGAATGGAAGAAATTGCCCCAGCTTTTTTAGTCGAATTCTTTCTTATTTTGCTGTTCGGCCAGGGAAAGAGGATGATCTCGTTTGCCTTATCTCGTGCAATATGTATGGTCTTGGACCATCAATAATGATTTTTCTTTAGAATTCGGCTATTTGATTGATCCACTTACTTATATTATGTCAATTTTCCAATCGATTGTTCTGCAATAATACTTATAGCTTCTCCTAATTCAACCAGGTCGCCATGGAGAGTAAATTTTTCTTTCTTGTTGGATTTCTACTTTCTTTCCTTTAAAATAGTTCAAGATCATACTATAGATACCATGAGTTTCCAATTGAAGCTTAGATTGAGGTGATTTATCTATTCCAAGAGCAGGGCTCTTTTCTTTTCCTCTTTGGTGTTTTTATATAGCACTTTTGGAGGAATTTTGTAGTCTTTCTTCTGTTGTTTCCAGTTGTTGGACTTAATAAAATTAATGAAGGTTTAGAGAAATTGACAAATTAAGTAATATGTATATACGTTCTTTATGCTTTGTCTTACGTTCTTTTTACCCTACATGTAGCATCTTGTTTAAATATTTTCCTATTGATGGAATTCAGACTCGTAGATGGGACTTGGTTGGTGACCTTGTTCTCTGACCAGAGGAGTCAATCTTGATTGTTTCACAAAATGGTCAAAAGTAGGTCTATGTTTGTAATACTTTAACTTTTGATTTTATTTGATTTGATAGTCAATTGACAACAATTGTGAATTTTGTAGGTTGGTTATGATTCATAAATGCCAACTAAGGCCACTCCAAAAATATTTGGCAATTATTTTACGGTATCTAAAACTCCTAGAGTTTATAATATAATACATTTTACGATATTGAAACATAAAGTTTGTTAAAAAGCTTTAAACTTCACCATGTTCTTTGACTAGAGAAGTCTGTACAACGAAATCTCGTGTATTAAAATATAAAAATCGTTACAAATTATATTTTGATAAATACAAGTGATGTTGACCTTCTTCTAATTGCAAAATTGTAAAATCCTCTGATTGATAATCTAAATATTTGAAGACGAAGGGCCATGTGATTTAAATCCTGCTCTTCAAGAATTTGTTGAAAATTTAATTTATCGAGACTTGACTTGTTCGGAACTTGAACTTCGGGGCTTGGACTTGAACTTGAATTTGATTTGATTTGAAAAAGACTTTGATCTCCTTGAACTTGGCGTGAACCTGTTTGATTCGAAGAAGATTTTAATCTACTTGGGGTTCACTAGATTTGGATTTGGGAGGAATTCTTCCATTCTTCTGGTCTTGAAATTTTTTCAGCACTTCGTGGCGTTCTCTGGATTTTTTTTTTTTGCTTGTTTTCTATGTCCCGTCTTATGGACCATTGGTCTTATTTATAGGAGAGGATTCGGGCTAATTTTGGTAATTATTCAATTATATTTAATTAAAAGAGATAATTGAGTAATTATAATTTTATTTATTTGTTTGTTTATTTATTTAAAATGTGGTATGAGCTTTTGGGATTTTATGAATTTTAGTAGAGTTAAGATTTAATTGGGCTAATGATTTAAATCGACCCAATTCATTTTATTTTATTTACTTATTATTATTTTTTTTTATGTTTACAAATGTCCCCTCAAGATTTATTTATTTATTATGAAATAAATAAATTAATAAATCTTGATTTTCGATTTTTTTTTGATTTATTTGATTTTCACTTTTGTTTATTTCAAACATCTCAGTAGTAAATTAATACAGGTGAAAATTTTGAGAATAAAACGTGAATTTGATAAAAAAATTATCCTTTAAATTTGAGAATAATTTTTTTCCCGTCGAATTTTGATTATTTATTTATTTATTTTATAGACATATCAAATTTGATTTGAACAGGCTTTTTATATTTTGTGGTAAGTTGGGTTTGAATGAAGTCCGATACTTACCTATTTATATCAATGCATCATGATATTTGGAAATAAGTTGGTTAAATCTTGCAGACAGAGGTAAATAATTTTTTTTATTCTTTTACTCTCTCTCTCTCTCATTTTTTTTTTATGTTTTCTCTTTTTCTAATTTTTTTTTAAATTAATGGCTTCCGCCTGGCGGCGACCAAAGTCAACATTAACTTGTTTGGTTTTCACATAATTGATTCTATTTCTTTTTTTTTCTTTTTTTTTTTGTGTTATTAATTAACTTTTTGGGTTTTTCGTATCCCGGAAGCCATAAAATCAAACAAGTTTTGGTTTCTGCCACGGCAATGGCAGAAACCAAATTTGGTTCAATTTTTTTTTTTTTTTGTCTTTTTCGTTTCTTTTTACTTTTTTTTTTCGTTTCGTTCCTTTTCCTTTGGAATTTTTATTTTTTGGGTTTTGGAAAATGGAATGCTGAATTTCAATTTGGTTTCAAAACAATCTTTTCCATTTTTATTTTTTGTTTTTGCATTTTTTTAAATATATTTCCTAGTTTTGGCACGGCAGCGGAAAACCAGAGATTTTTTTTTATATATATATTTAATACTTTGGTTTTTGTTCCAATTCCAAGTTTCAATTCCAATTATTCTGCCGCCCTTAAATTATTATTATTATTGATTTATTTTGAATGTTTCTTCTTCTTCTTTTTTTTTTATACGTAACTTTTTATTTTTTTATTTCATTCTTCTTGTTCTTGTTCTAGTTCCTTTTTTTTTTTTTTTTGAATTGTCTTTTTATTTCAATCCCTTTTTCGTTGATTTTGTTGTTATAATTATGTTTGTTTTTTGTATTTTTGTTTTAATAAAATTGGAACTAACATCCCTACATTTTTTTTAAGGGACTCAACTTTTGGAGTAAATCAAGGATTTTGAGGTTCAAAATTTTCTACGTGGAAAGGTAAGATTTTTTTTTTTATTTTTTTTTAATGTTGCAATACTATAAGTTCAGGAAATACATGCTTATGAGCAAACTCAAAATTGGAAACCTTCGTACACATTGAGGACCAAGGACGGTCACTTTTCACCATCTAATGCACTTTTTGTTGAGGATCAAGGACTTGCTCCTTCTATCGTCCAAGGTACTTTGTGTTAAGAACTAAGGACCTCCTTCGACCGTTCAAGACACTTTGTGTTAAGGACCAAGGACTGACTCTTTCAACTGTCCAAAGCACTTTGTGTTGAGGACCTGGCTGGTTCGCACTTTGTGTTGAGGACCAAGGACTGGCTCCTTCAACTGTCCAAGACACTTTGTGTTGAGAACCAAGGACCTGTTCCTTCCATGGCCCAAGGCACTTTGTGTTAAGGACCAAGGACTGGTTCCTTCCATCGTCCAAGGCACTTTGTGTTAAGGATCAAGGACTGACTCCTTCAACTGTCCAAGACACTTTTTGTTGAGGACCAAAGATTTGTTCTTTCCATCATCCAAGTCACTTTATGTTAAGGACCAAGGACTGATTCCTTCCATCGTCCAAGGTATTTTTTATAGAGGCTGTAAATATTTGGGAGACTCGAGATTTTAGACAATAAACCAATTTGAGAGGTTTATTGCCCCCCCTTTTTTTGGTTGACTTTTTTTTTTTTTTTTGGCAGGCATGGTTGGAAACAAGTTCTGATGATAAAGTGTGCAACATGCACGAAATTGTTGAATTTAAAAATCAAGGCAAAAGTTATCTATGTTTCAAAGATACTGATGTGAAGTACAATGCCCAGACCGGCGTACGAGGTGAGCTTAAATTTAGTGTCTATAAGCCAACGACAGATCCTTCCCCGGACCTTCTGGAGCCATTGTCGGATTGTCACGAGAGTTCTGATACTGGCAAGTCCAATAGCTCTAGCAGTCATCTTCCCTTTTTGTGTCTTCCGCCTCATCATTCCCCCAGCATGGAGTACATCCCAAGGCCTGTGATTTGTGAGAGAATTGATAATAGAGAAATACGATGGGGGAAGCGCACTAGTCAGTCGAGGAGAGATTTCTTTTCTTCCAAAATTTTGGGAGTGGTCTTTGTGGGTCCAGAAACTTCTGGTCAAGAGGAATCTCTGCGGGTTAGCTGTTCTATTACAAAAGATTACCATCGCCCAAACTCCATTTACAGAGCTCTTTGTGAGGTTTTGTGTCCAGAGACCAACACCTTTGTAGTGGACTTTTTGATCAAGGGTCATTATTATGAGAAAGTAGTCCCAAGCCTTTCAGAGTTGACGGATCATCTTCCCAAGTCTTGTTTGTATCTATTTAAAGCATTGATTGCCCATGCGAATGAATCTGACAGAGTTACTCATGAACAGTGAATTAATTTTTGGTTTCATGAGAATGGTCGTGTCCCGAACCCTCAACAACACAAAAATTATAAGAATGCTATGAATTTAAATTCTTTCAAGAGGCGCCATCAAAGAATATTGAAGGAAATACGGAGGCTCATAGACGTCATCGGAGCAATTTTCTAGTATCTCTGTCTATGGAAGAAGAAGAGGGATTAAAGATAGCAGCCTATCTCTCCCTATGGCTTTATCGCTTCGTTCTTCCATTTGGGGACGAAAGTATAAGAGTCGGGACTTTTAAAGTATCTTCTAGGATGGCAGGCGGATAGACTTATAGTCTAGTTCCACCCATATTGGCGAGCAATTATAGTAGACTTACACAAACATCTAACTATAAGGCAAATCCAGACCTTAGCTCAATTTCACATTCATTTCTTGGACATTTTCTTTATTCTTGGGCAGCAACTTATTTTGTCCGAGGTGTTTATGCTCATGTAGATAAGAGTTATTCTCGCACAATAATTCAAAGTTATGCCGGAACTCTGAATGCTTTTCAATCTTGGGAGAAAAATGTTGTTGATTGTCGGGAATTTATCCGAGGAGCGGTGAACACCGTTAACTTTTGCTGAAATCCATTACCCTCATCGTCTCATCCTGATGTACGTGTGGATGACCAACCGAGGTCTGCAGATACTTCAGAATTTATGATGAGTATTAGATCTAGATTTGTTTCTTATCGTCGAGGAAATTAACCTTTCATTCTTGAGAAGTATAATCCTCATAGGTTTGCGAGAAAGTTTGGCTTTAGACAGAAACTTCTCGGTTCACCAAGAAAGTTGAATATTGCCCCCAGTGTTCGGGTTTGGTTGTCCTTAACTCGGACAAAAAGTGGGTCTGTATTTCATATTCCAGAGTATGTGAGGGACATACATCAAAACATTGATGTTGAATACCAGGCTTGGTGGAATAGCAAACTGTTACCACTCTTGACCAAGGTCCAGGTGCAAGTCTTATTTTCTAGTGAGAGCCGTGACTTTGTTCTTGCCTTAACTCCGAACAGGGTTTTAGCTAGAGGGTTAAACCCTCCAAATGCTGATCTTGAAGAGGCTTCTCGAAAGAGGGATCGAAACCAGCAAATTGAAAGAGGTATTAAGAGAATCAAAATTATAGTTCCCTTGACAAAGATTGCTACCCTGTTGTTGGTATTGTTTGTATATGATTTTCT